TCCAAACTTGTTATCCTTGACCTAGATATTTTTCTAGGAATATTTAAATTTTTATTATAATTTTTAGAAATACTTCACCGGTACGCATTTATACCGTGAAACAGAATCGGTATCCGTACTTTTCCTCAAAAAAGAGATTTAAGCGTTATTTGACCTTCTCGATGATTATTCTAATCTTTCTATATTTATCCAAAGTTAATTATGAAATTATTTCTTAAACTCATAATTAAATTATTTAAATTCCTAATTTAACGGTGCGGGTTCTTACACAAAGCTAGTTGAGTTCATCAAATGATCAACCTGTTATACCTATTTGGTTACCGTGTGAATTGTCTTTTTGTCTCAGTTATCCGTCCCATTGACCTAGGTCAAGGAAAACGTATCAACCCCTGCGGTCTAGGGTTAGCTTTTGTCGAAACAGGGAATCTTCATTTACGGACTCTAAAGAGTGGGCCATCTCATGAGTCATTTACTATGCATAGATTCCCTAATCTCTCACAGAGATTGACGAATTCCTTTAGTGCTTCACACTAGCCCTGAGTCCTTAGGGCATTTAGGATAGGATAAAAGCTTAATTAGTGAATTAAATAAGTAGCCAATTATAATTAGTGAATTAGTTTAATATTTTTGTAAAATAAAATATGTATGTCATTTTTAAAACCTAATTAGTGAATTAAGTAATTAGAACTAATAATGAGTGAATTAATAATTAATTTTTGTGAATCATATGGTATATTATTTATAAAACCTTAGGATAGGATAGAAGCCTAATAGTGAATCAATTAGTGAATTATAAATAGTGAACTAATTTAATATTTTTGTAAATTAATATTTGTCATTTAAAACCTAATTAGTGAACTAATGAATTAGTTATTCATAATTAGTGAGTTAATTATGTGTTTTTGTATATTTTTATTAGTTAAATAGCTGGTCAACACGCCTCGCATTGACCCCAGTCCAATCGAGTGGGGCATGCTTGATTCGGATGTGCAGCGGTCACACAAATCGCAAGCAGTGTGGAACAAAGGAGATTACAAGATTTTGAGGGTGAGGCGAGCCTCACAGGGATCTTTGGGAGATGTGCATCGCCCAAATCAGATCCCCGTGGACTTGCAGCAGCACCTGATGCATGCAGGTTTCTGGTACGCATCTCGCATGAGGGGACTATCGGTATGTTTAATTTTTTATCCAATTATAGTCATTTATTTTTACATGATACAGATAACATATGACCCTTATATTTTTTTTCTATATCTTTCTTTTTTTCAGATTGACCATGCACTTATTATTGCATTGGTAAGGTGGAGGCTGAAGACTCATATCTTACATATGCCCGTTGGGGAGATGACTATTACACTATAGCTTCTTGATGTTCCTTCGTGCAGTAATGTTTTATTGCTACTTGGACTTCGGGCTTATACCTGAACTCTTGTTTCACATACAATTCCTCTCATTTTGTTCACGAACCCCGGCCTAAGCCTTCAACATCCAGTATATCTTCATTCGGGTAATCCCAATTAACAGCTTCAAAATGTGGAATCGCATTCCAAAATGGTGTAACATCTGCATATTCACACATAATAGGTAGATGCGAAAATAGCTAACTAATAAAAATATCAAAATATAATAATACAACTAACTAACTAACCTAATGAGTGTGGAACAATTGCGGGATTGGATATAAGGGTACTAGTCTTGTGTGACATAGGATTACCATGATGTTCATCACATGCATCGCTATCATTCTAATCATAGTCATTAGTCAACAGAGTGTCTTCGTCTTCCTCTTGCTCCTCATTGTAAGGTTCAACATCTACTATATATAGTCATTTTCTTCTCCATGTGCAACAGTTGATTGTGTGGGCTGGGGTACAGAAGATGATACATAATATGACTGACTATTAAGGTACAGTCCATGAATCAGTCTCTGACATCTCAATATCCACGTATAACTCAACAAATTGAGACATAGGGTTATGGACGAATGTTCGAAGGAAAGCATCCACGTCCTCATCATCAGATATCTCAGAACCCGCATATTTACGGTTTCCACACGGAACTCCACCCGTCACTAAAGATATTACCTGATTTTGTTGCAGCTTCAACTTTCGACGGATCTTATTTAAATCTTAAATGGACATGCCTCGAAGAATATACATTGCTCATTTTCCCCCCTTTTGAAGCGAAATCTGCTTGCACCTATAATTTTAGAACCATTGTAATATACAAATGAACGAATGTGATCCATTTTATGCAAATAAAACAAATAATTAGAGGGTAGATTATGGCTCAAAATAGGGATGAGATAAACAAGAAGAAAAAGTGCGAGTGTTAATCTATGACAGTGGATGAAAATAATAAAAGAAAACACAACGTAAATATCAAATACAGAAATGACGAAGGTGAGAATGAAACACTGAGCAATTCATTTTCGTAGCCGAGAGGGGGTATATATACAGAATTTGAGACTGGTTAGGTACGATGGATGGTCGGGATTTAATCAGGATGTATCAAACATGGAAGGTGTCAGGGCAGGACTAGTCCTGGATATGAAGCATACATGATTACTCCCGTATGGATCAGTTACGAGACTAGTCTGTTACACTTTCGGTGTTTTTCAGTGTCAGCGAGCTAAGGTGTTTTCAGTGTCGGCAAGCTGAGGTGGATGGGTAAAGGGAGTGAGTGGCGTCAGTGTGCCTGACGGAACTAGTGGTGTTAGTGCCAGTGACAAAACTAGACCCATTGGCTAAGGTGACGTGACTAAATGGGAGAAGCTGACATGGAGGTTGATCGCGTAAGGATACTTGACGTTACTAATCTCGTACATTTAGCCTACATGTTTGAGTGTATTAGTTTGACTAAACTTATCAGACTTACTTTAACTAGACATATCTTTTAACAAAGTTATGGGTGCTTTTGCTGACACATTGCCCATTGCCCAATAGTTGCTTATGAATGGAGTCAGGCAAAAATCTCTCCACACATTTCCGAATGAGATCGATGGCGATGATGTAAACCTCATACTTGCTAAAAAGTTACGAATTAAAAAGTTCCATGCCTCTTTACAAATCCAGACAATTAAAAAAACATTTTATCTCATCCCAGTCATAATTATTAGCAATCAATTGTGTCTCGAATGCCATTTATTGATGCGATTTGAAATTATCAAGATAGAAATGGAAATCTTCCATCAATATTATTTAAACTATTTGTCAATACATATGTCCTTTAAACTTGAATAATATGAAACGCTTTGATAAATACTAGGATCTTGCTATAAGATCGTATATATGCTCAAACGCATTCGTTTGTCATTAACTATCCCACTTAAAAAATAATAAATTTTTTGTTACTAGAAGTGTGGATTTTAAAACCAAATTAACATACTTAATTTCCTTCATATGCAGTAAACAGTTGGAAAATTTAATACATCTTCCTAGTTAGTATATATCATGCCATGTTTCCTTATTTATGACATGCCAGCAGAATTAATCAGTATATATATATTTTTTTGTTAGATTTGAAGGCATTCATGACTTAACCTATATGATAATATTTTTTTTCGTAGCCATGGATAGGGGTGGTATTTTTAAACCCGTCACATTGATATAACATGAAACGAAACAAATATGATAAAAAAGTATCGTGTTCAGATTAATTCATATTTAAATTCCTATCATGACAATATGCAAATACAAAGTTGACCAGTACTTTTTGGTTAATTATTTTAATCTTGCAAATTTATAATTGTAGTTGTAATTGGATTTTTCGTGTCGTAACAACGTCAACTCAGGTAGAAAAAATAATTTCCAGTTTGCTAGTTATTTTTGTCATATCATCTCACAAAATTTGCAAGACCGCGTATTTGTGTCGAAAAATGTAACACAAATAAAAATTATATACTGTTCGTCTTAAATATATTTATTTCTACCATGGATACGATTTTAAATGAACCCATTAATTTTATATATATATATATATATATATATATATATATATATATAGATATATATATATATATATATATAGAATTTTATAAGAGTTATGTTATAGGAAAAATGATTGTGTTACGTTATAGAGATTCATTTTGCGTGTCGTAATTTTTTTTTCTTTAAAACATGCGAGTCCCACAAAATATTGTGTATCATAAATATATATATATATATATATATATATGTTTGAAAATTAAATAAAAAAGAAAAGCTTACAAAAACAAAAAAAAAGAAAAGACCAAGTGCGGTAGAGCGCAAGAGGAGCGGAATTGCGTGTTCCGCAGAGGGTAGAAAGATACACCCGTTGGTAAGAAAGCGAAGCTGCCAATTCAATTCCCCAACCCAATCATTGGAAAAAATTTAATAGCCAAAAAAAAAAAAAAAAAACATTGGAAATACCTTAGAATTTTTACATAATAAGCAAAAATGCCAATAAATTAAAATCCAAATAAATTATTAGCAATTTATAATTTGAATATGAGATTCAAATCACACAGCCCCATCATTGAAAGTCTTCAGAATTATCATAAAATAATAAACTAAAATTAAAAAAACCCAAATAAATTTATTAGTAATTTTATTTTGAAAATCAGATCTCTCTCTTTCTCTCTCCACGTGCCAACTAGTTTACCGTTGTTAGGACAAAATTAGAGACAAAAAAAAGGGATTCTTTTTGCAAGCCTTAAAATCATCCAACGGTTCCCAAATACTAGCCGTTAAGTTTTTTCTTTCTTTCCTTTTTAAACGAATAGGTGCTATTCTGTTGTCTCTTACAAAGACAAAAAATATAGCCATGGTTTTCATTATATAATGTAACTGTTGGTGGTGCTAGTGTTCTTTGATTCCATTTACCTTCTTCTCTATCTCTTGGCACCTGCTACCGCTAGTAGTTCTATTAAATGCTCTTCTTCTAGTGTTGGGGGGTTTGGGTTCTTGGAGCATTCTTGAGTCGGAAGGATTTTGGGTTTGTTATTCTTCACAACATTAACGAAACCAAAACTTAAAAACATGGTTATCTCTGATGAGAACAAGTCCAACTCCGTCTTGCCCAGGAATTTCGAAGGTATGAAGTTTTCTGGGAACAAGTGCAGTTTTTAAGGTTCAAAGTGGTTCTAAGCTTAAAGATTTAACATGGGTAACTCAAATTTTCAATCTTTATTTTTTTTAATTTTAGGAGGGTTGGATAATATGGTTACCAGAAAGGTTGGGCAGAATAGAAGAGCATTGAGCGGCATCAATCAGAATCTAGTGCAAGGCGGATTGTTACCTTGCGTTGTTAGCAAGAGGGTGTTGTCTGAGTAATTCTCTTACGTTAATTCATCATAGACCTTTCCCTTTGTTTTTCTTGCAACTTCTTGTCTTCTTCTTCTTCTTTTTATTGGGTTTCTTTAATGTTAATTTTGTGGTTTTCGTTTTCTGTCTGTCCAGAAAACATGGGACTTTTGAAAAGAAGCCAGCGGATCCAGTGCATCGACCCATCACAAGGTGAGAGAATGTGGTCTTTGAGTGTAATTTTCAGTATTTCTTTTTTTATTTTAAGTAAAGAAGTGATAAACATTACTATAAGATTTTAAAATTGAAATGTCATGGCACTTTGTTGTAAAAGAAAATCTTGGTGCTTTCAAACTATTATATAGAGGTCCTGATTCTGATATGTTTATTCAAATTCTGGCAAAGGGTAAGGAATTAATGAAACTTTATGTTGATGCATTGTTATTTAGGAGGTTTGCTGCACAAATTGCTAGCTCACAGCAATCTTGCGCCGAGGTATATATTATCCTCTTACTGTTCTTTATTTGGTTGGAAATTGATGCACATATATATATATATATATATATCCTTCACTTTTGGACTAAAATTTTGAGTGGTGGGGTCAATTTGAATAGGAAACTAAGAAGTCAAACCCGTCAATGTCAAATCTGAATGTGATTGGAAACTCTATTTCCTTGGATGATGCACACAAGTTACCAGAAGACCAACCAGTGCCCATGTCTTTAGAGCAAACAGAACCACCAATGCACAGTGATTCAGATGAGATGGTAATTCTTTATATTTTTCTTTTTTGTTGTCCCTTGAATCTATTTCAATGTTTGATTTGTGACCTTGAACCTGTTAGGAAGAAGTAGAGATGGAGGATATAGTTGAAGAGCCTCTTATGGACATTGATAGCTGTGATGCAAATAATCCTCTTGCAATAGTGGAATATATTGAAGATCTTCATACTAACTACAGAAAATTTGAGGTATGCATAGCTCTCTTTTTTTGTCGGTAGTGTGAAATGCATAACTTTTTTATCTTGTTAATAAAGGCCTGTTCCCGAATTCAAACCCGCAACCTCTCATTAATAAAGTATCACCTTTACGACTGCTTCAAGCATGCCCTCTTGCTTTGTGACACCAATTCTATTATTATTTATTCGAGCCTTATTTTCATAGCTATCTTTCCAATTCTATCATTCAAGTTCTGGATTGTGAATAATTATTAGATATGTAGATTTATTTATCATTTCCAATTTTAGGATTATAACTTGCAAGTTTTAATATTACGTGTAGGACCGAACACATTCTTTGTTCTGACAAAATATGATTTTACTAGGGAAATTATAATGTAAAACTAATGCACCGTTGCATACCGAATTGATTAATTTTGGAATTGCATTATCCAGACTATGGATATTCCAACCTTGAGTTGAATCTCTATATCTTGCAAGCATTTGATACAAGGGGCACTCTAGAAAACTATGTTTAAGTTGTGTGCATGTAAACACTCACTGACAGTGATTGAATTTGCACTTATGCCGATAACTATGTACATCTAACATTGTTGAATTGGATATTTACCATCTATCAATTTTTTAATCTCCTATTTTACTGTTATTACTTTCAATCAGCAGTAAAAAAAGGTGTAAAACATCACCTAAGGTTTGATAAAATCAAAATTTGAGCTTGTTTGGAATTGTGTGGGCATAAAGTGGAAAAGGACTCGTTGAATTGAAAAAGTATAAAATATTAAACATCTTTCCAATTGGATCAACTTCAGTTCTAATTGTTTAAATTCAACATTGTTTGCAGGGTATTAGCTGTGTCTCCCAAAATTATATGGCACAACAACTTGACATCAATGAAAGGATGAGGGCTATACTAATCGACTGGCTTATTGAGGTATTCAATGTTCCGTACTATACCCCACTATGCCTAGCCTAAAATACTAATAGTTTACCTTCTGATTTGTTTTCATTCAATGTTCTGCTCAAATATCGATACGTGGGTCCAGGGGAAGTCCGTGGTGGAGGACCACTACTAATGGGTTAAAGCTAGACCAACCATATCAAATGAATTTGACACTCACAACCCAAAACCTTAAGATAGTGTTTTTACTTATATACATTTCACTTAGCCCATTACCAACTAATGTGGAACTCGTCACACTTGAAAATTCCAACAATCTTCCCTTCAAGTGTGAAATCCAACATTGGTATGCTCCCCCTAGGCCTAAAGTACTCATTCCGCTTCTGGCCTAACATCAAGCTAGCTCAAGTCTAAACTCGGCTCTGATACCACTATCAGGAGGGTCCAGGGGAAGCCCATGACGAGGGAACCCACCACTAATGGGCTAAGGCTAGACCAACCACATCAAGTGGGTCTGACACCATGTCACAACCCAAGACCTTAAGGCATCGGATTCATAGGTGATGTTACATGATCACACTTGAAAATCTTTTTGCATATGCAAAGAAACAATTCAACCCAAAAGCTTAAGTAGTTAGGTGATGTTACATTAATAGTGTTAACACGCCTCCTCACACGAGAACCCCAATGGGTTTGAATGGTAGATAATGAATCCGGCCTAGCCTACCTGTGCTAAGAAACTCCACAAGACTTAATTAATTATTAACTAAATAGGTAACTAACTAGGTGCGGTGATGATCGTACTTGTGACATCGAGGCTCTGATATCATGTAAAGAACAATTCAACCCAAAAACTTAAGTTGTTAGGTGATGTTACATTAATGGTTTTATACTTCTCTAACATGCATGTTTGGTCCACCAGGCCCAAATAGGCATGTTTGAAGGGTAGATAATGAATGTATCACGCCCAGTCTACCTATGCTAAGAAACTCCATAAGTTTTAATTAATTATTAACTAAATAGGTGCGGTGAGGATCATACTTGTGACATCGAGGCAAAGAACCAATTCAACCCAATAACTTAAGTTGTTAAGTGATGTTATATTAATGGTTTTATACTTTTCTAACACGCTTGTTTGGACCATTAGGTGCTCCACAAATTTGACCTCATGCAAGAGACAATGTTTCTTACAATTAATGATATTAATTGTTTTATACTTCTCTAACATGCCTGTTTGGACCATCAGGTGCACGACAAATTTGACCTCATGCAAGAGACATTGTTTCTTACAATTAATATCATAGACAGATTTTTGGCAAAACAAACAGTGGAAAGAAAGAAGCTTCAGTTGGTTGGTCTGGTTGCCATGCTTTTGGCATGCAAGTATGAGGAAGTTTCCGTGCCTGTGGTTGGTGATCTAATCCATATATCAGACAGAGCTTACACAAGGAAGGAAGTTCTTAACATGGTAACATTTCTTAGTTTAATACAATCCTGTAATTTTTCACATTTCTTGAGCCACTCAATATAGCTAGTTTCTGAGATTTTCTTTCCAAAACACTGCAGGAAAAGTTTGTGCTGAATACATTGCAGTTTAACATGTCTGTACCAACAGTATATGTTTTCATGAGAAGGTTTCTAAAGGCAATTCAAGCAGACAAAAAAGTCAGTACTCATATTTCTGCCAAATATTTCCATTTAGTTATGCATATGCATTTATAACTATTTGTAACCAGCAATTCATAATTACTACTAAACTAACTTTACTCCTCACCATGGAACAGCTTGAGTTACTAGCTTTCTTTTTGGTAGAGCTATCTCTGGTAGAATATGAGATGGTGAAGTTCCCCCCATCTTTGATAGCTGCAGCTGCAGTCTACACAGCTCAATGCACATTCAATGGTTTCAAAGAGTGGAGTAAGACATGTGAATGGCATACAAAATACTCAGAAGATCAGCTATTGTAAGCATATTTAATTTAGAAAGCACATTTCATATTCCAATTCAATTACACACTAACTCGACATACCAAAATACTCTAGTCTAATGCACATTTATCTTCTTCTTTTTTTTGCTTGTAGAGAGTGCTCTACTGAAATGGTTGCGTTACACCAGAAGGCTGGGATAGGAAAACTCACTGGGGTACATAGGAAGTATTGCTCATCTAAATATGGCTATACTGCAAAACATGAACCAGCATGTTTTCTTCTGAAGAACTAACAGTAGCAGAGCGTGTATAGCTACTGACAATAACATTTACATGAGTTTCATATGATTTGTGCTTATTTGGGGTATGGAGGGGGGAGTGCGTTAAGAAATGTGAACACAAGAGCAACTTGGGTTGCACTGGGAATGTTACCTACTTCTTCTCTTGTTCATTTATATTTGGCCATTTTCCTTTCCTTTTCTTATGTTCTAAATGAACATAATAACTTAGAACACTGAATTCTGTTTTTCTGTTGTTCTCAATGAACAAAATAACGGAAATGATGATATAGACACAATTTTACTTTTTTGAATTGATATAATAGTATTTGCCTTTTTGCTTTATTGGTTGCCTTTTTTTTATTTCCTGTTTGCATAAATTAGTAAAATACTAGCAAAATTGTTGGAAGAAATTTTCTTTGACCGGCTCCGTTTGGTAGAGGAGAATTTTTTTTTATCCGGGAATCTCGATTTTTAGAAATATGATTTTTATATTCAGTTTACATAATATTCGAAAATTAAAAATTTACAAATATTCAGTTTTGCTTGAATCCTGAAGAATACCGCGTACCAACCCTTGAAGTTGTGATTATGCAACTTAAATTCATTTGGATGATGTGTACCTACTTTGTCAAATGCGAAATGCTTCTTTTTCATCTATTATTTCGCGGGAATCTTGAGAATACCGCGTACCAACTCTTGAAGTTGTGATTATGCAACTTAAATTCATTTGGATGATGTGTACCTACTTTCGTCAAATGCGAAATGCTTCTTTTTCATCTATTATTTCATTTATGGAAAAAGTGTTTTATCCTTTTGAATGACATAACTTATATCCTTTCACTCTCACAAGACATAACTTATATCTTTTCACTCTCACAAAAAAGTGGGATTCACACCTTTATTTTATTTTTTTGTCAACTCTCACTCTCTTTTTATCTATCTCTTTCTCTATCTTAAAATGAGACAACTTTACATCCTTTAAAATAATATATATTTTTTCCTTCCTTCGTTAACGAAGTCAAAGGACCTTAATAACTTGAGCACATAAACAACTGATAAAATTTTAAATTTTTAACGTCACTTTTACTTTTTGCACTTTTTTGGACTTTTGCCACACTGCATCTTCTCCAACGGTCATTTCTGTATAGGGCTCCAATTTAAATACATTTGTTGGTTAGTCTCATTCATTGAGTTCAGTGAACAGCGTGCTCCAAAAGTAAACGCCTACCCTAATTTTTTATTTGTTAAAATAGGAAAAAGAATAATATATTAAATATTATATGATTATCTACCTAATCATGGTTGCTAACAGTAGAACTAAGTTGCAATTCCTTATAAACTTAAATTTTTTGACCTTAAAATTATATTTTGAAAAGTCTTTTTTCTTTGATAGGATGAACTTATGAAAGTTACATAAAAGAAAAGAAAAGAAGAGAAGAATAAATTACAGCAAATGATTGATGCTATTCTTATGCTATTTTATAAACTGTTTTTTTGCATAATTCACGGTCAATTTTGCCATCATTCAAATTTAAGTTCGTGCATTTGTTTTTGTTGCATAAGTTCGTGCTTATAATCAACCCAAAAGTAAATTTTAGTCTACTTATTTTCAGAATTTATCAAACAAAATGCTTTTATTCTTAACAATTAGTTTAACTTATACTTGTTGGGCTTCCTCCTTCAATACAGCCCAAGCTCATTGAGGGATTTCCTAAAAATCCTAAACCCTAGATTCCACCTCCTCTATATATTCATTAGTTGTGGGTGGAGGATAAATTAGAAAGAGAAAAAATTATTTGAGAGATTTGTGAGCAAAGCTTTGAGCTTTGTATTTTAAGAAATCTCTAGAGAAAGTTTGAGTGAAACATCTCTAGGGAAGTTTGATTATCGCCATTGTTAGAGAGATTGAGTTAACCACCACTTTGGTGAATCTTGATTCTTTGTACCTATTATTTTCATAGTGGACGTTTGAACTGGACTAGGTCCCGTGGATTTTTACTTCTTCATTTGAGAAGATTTTCCCACGTTAAAATCTGCTTGTGTTCTCTTTCTCTCTCTCCTTTGTATTTTCTTTTTTTCTGTTGCGCTGCCCGACCTGGTGAAGTTCAGGCTGAGGTAAGATTCCCGAGATCCGAGATCCAGGATCTTGTTGATTGACTTTCGCGAAAAGGCTTCTAAGCCGAGTTGAGGGAACCGAGTTCCCAATAGTGGTATCAAAGCCCGAGTTCGACGGGTTCTGAGGGAGACGAGATCGAGACCAGTGGTATAACCCATGACGGAGATATATTCAAGCTGATCGCAGACAATTTCACCTATTAGAGACCGATGATGGAAGATCATCTCTACGACAAAGATTTACATGAGCCCATTATCCTTGATGAGAGACCGGCAGGTAAAACCGATAAGGAGTGGGAGATCCTGAGTCGTAAGGCGGTAGCTACAATCAGGAAATACATTGACAAAAGTCTCTTTGAGCACGTGTCAAAGTTCACGAACGCATACGAGTTGTGGACGAAGCTGGAGTCCATGATTCAGAAGAAGACTCCCACGAACAAAGCACACCTGGTTTGCCGACTTGTGAAGTTGGAATACAAGGATAGCATGAGCATGATTGAACACCTCAATACCTACAAAGGTAATATTAATCAGCTATCTAAAGCCAAGATAAAAATTGATGATGAGATGCAGGCTTTGCTGTTGTTGAGCTCGCTGTAGAAAGCTGGGATACTCTGGTGGTGACTTTGAGTAATTCGGCTCTAGAAGGAAAATTGAAGAGGGATGTCGTAACAGATAGTCTCCTGAATGAAGAAGCCAGGAGAAGAGAACGAGGTGTTTCGAGCACGTCTGAGGCCAACGTTGCTGAAAACAGAGGGAAATCTGACTCCCAGGGTAGAAGTAAGAGTCGGGGTGGAGATCGTGAAAGACGAGGAAAGTCCAAGGTCGGTCAAAGCCGAAATATGAGTTGAAGTGCTTTTATTGTGGGAAGACAGGGCATAAAAAGCCAAACTGCTGGACTCTGCAGAATGATGAGAAGAATGGCTCCGTGAAGCCAAATTAGATTATTTCCAAGAAGAGGGAAGACAAGAGCACCACTGCTGTGGCTGCCAACTCGGATGCCGAGATATTCCTCCTTGGTGAAGATAATTATTTGAATGTTGCATATGATGACTGCACTTAGATTGTTGACTCTGGTGCCTCCTTCCACGTTACTCCATACAAATGTTTTTTCTCCTCTTACCGAGGTGGCGATTTTGGGGTCGTGAAGATAGAAAATCAAGTGATCAGCAAGATTGTTGGTGTAGGTTATGTGACCCTAACCAAGGATGTTGGGTGCCAACTTGTGTTGAAAGATGTAAGGCATGTTCCTGACATGCGATTGAACCTAATCTCGGTAGGCAAGCTTGACGATACTGAGTTAGTGAACTACTTCTTTTATAGTGTTATATGGAAGCTGGCCAAGGGAAACTTGGTTGTTGCCAGAGATAAGAAGGAAGGCTCCTTGTACATAATGCAAGGAAAGATCAATGGTGGAGAAGCCAATTCTGTCCGAGATGGACCTAGCTTAGAGCTATGGCATAAGTGCCTCGCCATATGAGTGTGAAAGGGCTTTGAATCCTGAATAAGAAAGGGTTACTGACCGGGTTGAAAGGCCAACCGTTGGAGAGTTGCTCGCACTGCCTAGCTGGAAAGTAGCACCGGGTTTCTTTTGTGAAACCGGATCAACCCAGAAGACATAGGTATATTCTTGACCTCGTCCGTACTGATGTTTGCTCAATGTCAGAGAGATCCCTTGGAGAAGCTCAGTACTTTGTTTCATTTATTGATGACCACTCCCGCAAAGTGTGGGTTTATTTGTTGAAGTCTAAAGACCAGGTACTCTAATCCTTTAAAGAATTCCATTCTATGGTTGAAAGGGAGACTGGCAAGAAATTGAAGGTGGTCCGATCTGACAATGGTGGTGAGTATTGTGACCCTTTTGATGCATACTGTAGAGCGTTCGGGATCCGACTTGAGAAGACACCCCCTAAGACTCCACAGTTGAATGGACTTGCTGAGAAGATGAACCGGACTATTGAAGAGAAGGTCCGAAGTATGCTATCCAATGCCAGATTGCCGAAATCATTCTTGGGAGAAGCCGTTAGAACTTCTATTGACTTGATCAACCTCTCACCAACACAGCCACTTGAAGGAGAAATTCCAGAAGAAGTCTAGACAGGTCGGAAGGCGGCCCTCGAGGTAGAACAAATGGACGTGAAGACGACATTTCTTCAGGGTGATTTAGAAGAAGAGATATATATGGAGCAACCTGAGGGGTTCCAAGCTCTAGGACAAGAAAACTTGGTATGTCGGTTGAAGAAGAGCCTCTATGGCTTGAAGTAAGCACCTTAGCAGTGGTATAAGAAGTTTGAATCATTCATGACTAATCACAAGTTTAAGAAGACAAAGGCCGATCACTGCGTATTTGTGAAAAGGTATAAGGCCGTAGATTTTTTAATTTTGTTGTTATATGTTGACGATATGCTTATTGTAGGGAAAGAAAAATCGAGGATACCTGCCCAGAAGAAGGCATTGAGCTCGTCCTTCCCAATGAAGGACCTCGGCCCTGCAAAGCAGATACTCGGAATCAAGATTATCCAAGATAGACAAAAAAAAGCTATTGTTGCTGAGTCAAGAGAAGTATATTAAGAAGATTCTGAAGAGATTCAGCATGGACAAAGCCAAAACAATGAGCACCCCTCTAACCGGACACATAAAGCTGAACCAGAAGCAATGTCCGAGATCTGATGAAGGCAAAGACAAGATGCGGAAGATACTGTACCAATCCGTTGTCGGAAGCTTGATATCTGCAATGGTTTGCACTAGACCCTACTTGGCATTTACTGTTGGAATGGTGAGCTGGTATCTGTCAAACCCCGGCAAAGAGCACTGGAAAGAAGTGAAGTGGATCTTCAAGTACCTCCGAGGTACGACAAACTTATGCCTCCGATTTGGAGAAGACAAAGCCAAGTTGC